GGTTAAGCGTCCGACTTCAGCCAGGTCAAGATCTCGCGGTCCGTGAGTTCAAGCCCCGCGTCAGGCTCTGGGCTGATGGCTCGGAGCCTGGAGCCTGTGTCCGATTCTGTGTCTCCCTCTCTCTCTGCCCCTCCCCCGTTCATGCTCCGTCTCTCTCTGTCCCAAAAATAAATAAACGTTGAAAAAAAAATAAAATAAAGGCAAAGTGAGGATGCCTGTTTTCAAATCCTGGCTCCAACACTCACTTTTGGGATGATCTTTCCCCACAGTCTTGTCTCCTCAGAGCCTCAGTTTTCTCATCCGTAAAAAGGTTAGCGTTAATAGTTTTCTCGCAAGACTGTTATGGGAATTTTTACTTATTTATAACAACATTTACATTTGTACTCTTGCTTTGTGCCAGGTGCTGTACCTGCCAGTTTATACCCCAACTCCTGTGAGGTAGGGATCATCATTTTCCCTTGCACAAACAGGAGAACAGAGGCACAGAAAGACGAAGCAGTGAGTCCAAGATCACACATCTAAGTTGTGTAGATTTGAATTCAGGCCTACTTAACCTAAAGCCTGGACTTTGGTTGCCTACAGGGCAATATAACTTGTTTAAGGCTGTGGGTGTTGGAGAAAGAGCCAGAAGTTGAGTATTTCCTCTAAATCAGATCATATCCTCCTCTGCTCAGAACCCTCCATGGTTCCTATCCCACTTAGGGTAAAAGCTGTAGTCTTTACTGTGCCTCACGATGCCCTAAGTGACCCAGCTCTGGTTACATCCCAGACCGGCTCTCCTCTGTCTTTCCCCCCTCACTCACTATGCCCATCAGCCTCTTTGCTATTTCACTGAGATATTTTCCACCACAGGGCCTTTGCACTGGTTGTTCTCTCTTCCTGGAATGTTCTTCCCTCACATATTCCGATAGCTCCCTCCCACACCTCTTTCAGGTCTCTGTTCAAATGTTACCTCCTCAGCTACCTCCTCAGCGAGGTCTTCCCTGACCACCCTGTTTGACTTCAAAATTTTCTCTCCACTCCCTGCCTCCCTTCCCTGGTTTATTTTTCTCCTTAACACGTATCACCTTACTAAATATACTTATTTATTTTGTTTATTGTCCCCCTCATTGGAAGCCAGCACCCAGAGGGCAAATACTTTTTCCTGGACTCTTCCTTTTGTGGCCCCTAGAAAAGTACATGATAAGTGTTTAATAGAAATTTTGGAAAGAACGACTTTTCCATAAGAAGTTTCTCTCATGTATAGAGCTTTTGTTCCGTACCAGGTCCTGTGCCAACCTCATTACAGACGCTATTTCACTGCATCTCTTTCTCTCACTAACACGGAGCAAGAGAGGATGCTACGGCCCCGTTTTACAGATGGAACCCTGAGGCTGAGAAATCGGCCAGCCTCTAGCTAGTCTTTGCTGGTCACCGCCAGGCTATTTGATATGACCCCATAAACGTGAACCATGTGGCACCGGACTTCACACTATCAGCCACGGTCCTGTGGGGTTATTGTCATAGGTGCTTTTTATATATTTTTGCCCCCAAGGGTGAGCTGTCACCCAGCTCCTGAGTCAGACCCTTACGTCTGGAAGGTGATGGGGGTGTTTTGTCTTGAAAATGAGTCATCTGGGGGTGGGGCATCGGGCACAGGCCCAGGGCTCTAAAATGAGTCATCTCTTCACAGACCAGTGAAAAATCATAGCAGGATCCCCCTAACAAATCATATAGGCTGGGAAGATGAAGTCCAGAAAGAGGGCTCACATAGCACAGGCACAGAGACAGGGAGGTCTGATTCCCGACAAGAGGGGTTAGAGAGTGGGAGGGGAGGGTTCTGTGAGGGAAGAGTCACATCGCTCCTTCTCCCAGCCGTGGGAGAGATGCCCCAGCCAGCTGCTTCTATTCCAGACTGTGAGGAGGGGTGAGTCAGCCTGTTGGGGGGGGTGGGGGGCAGGCTTTAAGCCTGCCTGTATCCCCATCCCCACCCCCCAACACACACCCAGATGGACTGGAAGCTGGTTTTCTGGGATGCCAGGGCTCCTGACTCAGCACTGGGAATCTTGGCTGAGTGTGTTCTGGGAAATGTCAGGCCTACAGGAAACAGAGGGCCCCCACTCACACCATCCCGCAGGTGGGCGGGGAGTGGAGAGAGCAGGGTGTATGAGAGAACAGGGGCCCAGTGTGCAAGGGGCTGAGCGTGAGGGGGTTTATGTACACAGGCGAGTTGAGACTATGAGAGAGACAGTTGGCAAGCAAGGCATGGGGTTTATCTGTGCAAGGGAAGAGGCTGGGTGCCAGGTTGTGGGTGTTTGAAGCAGAGGCAAAGTGGAGGGGCTCCCAGGGCAAGGGAAATGTTTGCTGGGAGGACGTGTTCAAAGGAGACATCCAGCCTGCTAGGGGCAAAAATAAGAAGGGACATTGGCAAGACGTTCGTGCAGAGCAGAGATGCGGAGTTTGTAAAGGATGTTTGCAAGAAAGACGGTGTGGGGAAGAGAAAGGTATGCCAAGCACACAGCACTCAGGTGAGCGGAAGAGCACGAAATGGCACGTGCGCCTTCCTGCGGTACAGCGACAATCCCCAGCAGGCCCCAACGCCCACCCTTAGGCCCCGCCCCTCACGCACAGCGGGGTGTGCTACGTGCCAGTCAGTGAGTTGCTGCTCCTCCATTGGCTAGCTGGCCGGAGTGGGCGGGCGTGCGGAGATTCCCGGAAGCGCAAGAGGCCCCGGCGCGTAGTGGACCCGGATCCAAGGAACAGTGGGTGCTTAGCAACGGGGGGAGGTGCCCAGTAATGG